AGACTTCTGTCTCCAGAAACACTCGAACTGATAAGCCAGCGTGGAACCACACGAGCTGCAGGCAACCGCGAGCAAACGTCCAAACTTGCAGAGCAATGCAGACAAGCGATAAAAAAGGATCTTAGAGACAGAAGAGCAGCAGCAACGGCCGAAGGTGCAGAGGCTGGGAAAAGCATTCGCAAAGACCACCGAAGCTTCGCCAGTCACAAGACCAAAATGTCTGTACTCCGATGCCCAAACGGAACAGTTACAGCGTCCAGAAAGGCAATGCAGAAAATCATTCACGAATATTACTCGGATCTCTTCGATAGTCACGCCCACCCTCCGTGATATGGAGGACGGATATGTTGTAGCACCGGTTCTGCCTTCCGAAATCCGACATGCATTTCGTCGGTGAGAAATGGACCAGTACCAGGTCCGGACAGGATAAGATCAGAACACCCTAAAAACCGTCAACAGCGCAGTACCAATACAAATAAGGTAGCGGAAATCAAATTATCACACCCGAGGAATTCTCCTATCCATCGAGTTTTTGTTAAGTGCTCGCCTTCTTGTACCTGGCGCTTATTCAAAATTGCACATGCCTTTAGCCTCAAGAACCGATTCCTTTCGGATTTCCGGTAGCAGAATCTGTCATAAAATTCGTCGTCGCTTCAAAGAGTTTCACCCTATAATTCAACACTGTTCTACAAGCGCTGATTTCCAAATAATTGTTGTTTTATGCACGGTGCAATGTGGAAAATGTAAACTTTGCTTTCAATCTAGTCTACAGAAATTGCATAGATTTCTAGGATCCAAAAATGAATAGCCTTACCAACGTGGTACGACTTCAGGAGCTACTCATTTCGTTTCTAGCCACAGTCTCGACGGTGATCGGATGTGGACTAATGCCACCAGGGCAATGTAATGAATAGAAGACTACTATGCTATTACAAACAACTGCAATTTTAACTGAAGTGTTTTGAACCATAATTAGAGTGAACATAGCCAGCACTTCATCACTACTCAAAAGCTTTCATATTTCGAAGTTTTTGATAAGATCACTATGATTTGAAAATTATAAATTCTAAGCAGCAGAAGGTGAAAAGCAAAAAATCTTAAACAATTGGTACAACTAGAATGGTTTGGTTATCAACAAGTATTATTTTTTCGCCAGTTATTATTATAACGATGGAAGCGGATAGCACAGTGGGAGTGATGTCGCTCTTTACAAGCACGGTAATAGTTCGATTCCGCCCAGTGCGAATAAAGCCCCTCATCTCTGCCGGGTCAGAAAATTTGTAGCGGACCTGCCTCGAAAAAATCACTCTCTAAAGTATAATTGGGAACGCTCCATCATGGCTATCCTAGGACTTCAGGGAGAACCGACTCAACCAGCATTGAACGGCATTCGAGGTGAAATGAAAATCCTCAAGCAGCAGCCGAAATCACACGTAAAACTTGGGAGATTTTCGTGTATAGTGGTTCAGATGCCGTGGGCTAGAGAACCAGAATAGTGAGATACAGACAAGCCGCGCAGGCTATGCTAGAGTTCATATCTACAGCGGTTGGATGCACTTCCACATTAATCAATGAAGATAGCAATTTACCTCAGCATTGATGGTGTAAGTGACTACGAACGACATGAGTCATCTGCGGAACACGGTCAGGCTTGTTGCTCTTGGGTAACGATATGTCTGCAACGTGAAGTGTGAGCATCGATGGGTGCCACCATTCCCTAAGGGATTATAGGCCAAAAAGATAACGACTGAAAAATGATAAGCCTACAGCAGCTTAACAAATACACAGCATAAGTTGGCCGGTTAGCGGACTTGTACGCATGGCGTACAGTGTGGGCCACCGATTGCGTTGCAAGCAGAACGCATTTGAGGATAGCCGCCGCTACTGACAACGAACCGCAGAGCAATTGATAAACAGTGAACATTGACACGAGGATGAGGAACAGGATGCTGATGAGGATACACTGGGCTGATGGGAAGCGTAACATAATGACGGTGATGCTAAACTAATGTACAATTCGCAACTGTCATTTAAAAATCATATGATGGAGTTATTGTACAATAATGACTACGTGCAGTATGACTTAACAACCACGATAATCTACATTGGTGACAAACGAGATCAATACGGTACGGATCTAAAAAGTGGACAAACCTTGACAGTGGCGAACCAGGAGAGCAATTAACAAGGCTATTTATATGCTTCCTGAGAAGGTGGTCTTTGGCACAGGTTCAGCATTTTTACCGGAAACATTCATCGGCTACCATCTCCAAATCCTCTCAAAGCCATAGATCATCTGGCGGAAGGCTGCTTTTGCAAATACTCTCATGCCCTTCTTCTTATTGTATGCATAATGACTTTTGGACAGTAATAACTAACAACGAGTTCAGATTGCAAAAATAGGTCTTCATAAGAGGTCTGTTTATAGCGATCGATGTTCCTTAGGATGGGATAGAAATATGTACGTACTACGACATTTGCCACACAACTTGAGAAACAGTGGATGTGATTCATACTACAGAAACATACAGTAGTAGAAATATAGAAATATATATAGAAAGTAATAGAAACTATTCTAGAAATAATTTTTACATAGGTATTCTTTTTGCTTTTTTCCTTTTCACCTTCTGCTATTTTGAGTCTACAGTTTTTAAAATCACAATGTTCTTATCAAAAGGTGCAGAATATGAAAGCATTTGAATAATGAAGAAGCGTCAGATATATTCACTCTAAATAAGGTTCAAAGCTCTTCGTTTAAAATTGCAATCGTTTGCACTAGGACAGGAGTCACCAATTCATTACACTGCCCTGGTGGCATCCCTCCACATCCTAGCACTAATAAGACTTGCTAGAAGAGAAATGAGAAGTGCCGAAAGTCACACCACTTTGGCAAAACTATTCACTTTTCGCTCTTAAAAATCGAAGCGATTATTGTAGATATAGTAGGATACAAACATAACACTTCCTGTAAGTGCTTTTTTCATCGCGAGCGGGGAGCCAGGTGGTAGTAATGCAGTTTTTCACTAGAACGCTTTGGGCTCGTTGTTTTGAAGGTTTCGACGTCAGTGTACAGTCGCCTTTATCTCGTGCAATTCCACTTCGGACAATCAGCTCGACTGTCTTGGAGAAGTACATCTCTCGGCAATTTTCGAACTCTTAGCTTTTATAGCGCTTGCAAGATGTTTAATGAGACGATATTATTCCTCGTCATTGCTGTTAAGAACGTCTTTTTCACAACAACTTCGGAGATTTACTGGTTAAGCGATTGTGGTTCTCTGTAGTCCCGAAGTCAGCCTTGCCAAAGTCTACCTCAGGTTTTCACCAGCACAGGCAGTCGCCGCCCTTGTGGATCAGAGGGAGATTTGCCACCATGCGACTTTGATACCAGGACGGTGGTGGAACCTGATATTGGTTTATTCTTAACTAGGCCTCCAGATCGAAACGCCGGACTCTTTTTCAGCTTGGGAATCCTGCCAAGGAGATGAGTACTCCTGCTGTACAAAGCAGTATGACACCCAGGAACACCTCCCACCCACGATGAAGCGGTATACCGTTTGAGAGGTTTTCACAACAACAGATGAATTAACTAGATAAATTGCAGTTTATGGTGGTTTTGGGACTTCGTTTTTCAATTTGGCGACTTTTTTGCTTTCAACGAAAAGTTAGATTTTGAACCAGGGAGGCGGTGATCTGATCCAGAGCAAAATTTTAAGAAAAGAGCAACATTGGTTAGGCAAAACCTTCTATATACTTTGATGTGGTCTATTTCGTTGTGGTACTCTCCACTGAGAGACTCCCACGTGTCGCGTTGAGGGTGGGGCTTCTGGAATTGCGAGTTACCATGGATTGACTTGGTCGTCATGATAAACTCAGACAGCAGCTCACTCTGCTCGCTCCATTCCAATCAGTGGGTTCCAATGTGACGTTCTACAGACGTTCTTCTTGGTCCAGTCTTGGCGCTAAAATCTCCAATGATGACCGTAAAGAATGTACGGTCTTCCCTGTAGAACCTCTCTAAGTCAATAGAGAACGCTTCCTTTTCGTTACAGCTTGCTGCCGGTGCATAGATAACGAAATTGTCAAAGGAATTGATCCACATCCCTTAAATCTTAGATGTTCTTTTCGGACTGTTAGTTGTCCAAAGGATTCGATGCTCATGGCTAGGCTATTGTTGACGAGAACGCGGGCTCCTCTACTGTTGCATATTCCGAAGGACAGTTCTTCTACGGTCTCACAAACGGCGTATAATGGGTGGCGTCTTCCCATCTCAGCTAGTCCAACGACGTCGTATCTTATCCCTCTTGCCTGCGTGATCAAGTCTTCTATCGAGGACTCGGATACAAGTGCGCTTGTATTGCAGGTGCATTTATTACGTACAGAAATAATTCGCTTCATTATTATTATTCATGTCCCTGTCAGTAACACAAACAATGGATTGGTGTACGATAAGCTGATAACTGTGCATTCGCATTACATCAATGCGTCCGAAAACCTCAAAGTAGGATGGATTTTTGTGGCAAAGAGAATCGTAATAAGATAAAATTGACCTAGCAAGTTCTCCGAGGCAACGACTGCTGACAAACGGGAGTAAACATATCAGCAGATTTACATATCCATACTCTCTGTTTAATGAAATTAGATGAGTTCCTCTTCCCTGCACCAAAGAAAAGAGACATAGAGAAAGACAGTTAGGGAGGAATGGAGAAAGAGAATGGAAAAATAGAAGTGAAAGAGGAAGAACACAAAGGAGAGAGGGATGAGAATGACAAGCAGTCTGCGAGAAGAAAGAACCAATAAATAAGCGTAATGTTAATCGAACTTATCAGGAAATTCTACATGAGTTAACACAATTCTACAAGCATAATGATAAGCTTAGACATGATCGATTCCAAATTGATGCTATCAAAAATGAATGCTATCACTGCTAAGCAGATTAGGAGTATAAGAGGAGACAAATCGGGTAAGGTTAATTATTCATCTACTTGCGCAACTCTAACGGTATGGATGCCGTTGTTGAAGTTGTGGAACGCTATCGTCATGAGTTGGAAGACGCTATGCAAACCATTCGCCAATCTGGTGAAGAGTATGGACAGTCTGCTCAGCAAATGATTCAAGAAACGAGAAACCAAGTCGAGCCGCAAACTCAAGAGCTTATCACGGCCGTTCGAGATACGGTAGGAGAGATGAATAGTCACTGCTATGGCCGTTAAATATCGCTCGACTTCAGAGTTCGGTTCCTCCAACAACGAAGCCCGTTGTTGAGGTGTTTGCGTGGGCCACACTGATGATATTCTTTGCTAACGCTGGTATTATTGTCGGCTCGTATATACTAGGTCCACTACTTTCGGCGTTTCTGGGAAAATCTGGTGCTGCCCTTCTAGCATTCCTTGCCATTCCAGGTTATGCTCATTACTCCATCACTAAGGTGGGTTATGTTTCTGCACTAAGTGACATACTTGTGAGTATTCCATTCTAATATGATGCTGTCAGTGACCACTAGCTATCATATAACTACCGTGAATGTTCGCTTTGTGATATTCTCCTCTATGAACAAATGTCGTTGTGCCGTACCTACTAGTTTCGATGGATATAAAGTCACAAGTAAATGCGTCGTTAGTTATCGAAGACCATTGGGCACCCGCTTTGAGGTGCGATTGAGATGTATTTCAAAGATCTTTCATGGCGGCCAATACAGATTATTTGGGCAACGGTAACATTTCCTGAATATCCTTTCAACATGTGATGTTTGTGCAGAACTCTGGTGGTGGAGACGATGCTGCTATTCGCTTCCAAGTGCTGTCGCTGGCAATTGTGCAAGGTGTACTGATGGGTTTCGTCATCAACAGTTTGTATCTCAGCAGTATTCCATTCGCTGTTCTCACTCCAGCGATTACAGCTCTGTCATTTCCGGTACTGTCTTCAAGAATTTTGGGTTATTCCTGGAAATTTTATTAAAAAAAATATCTAGGGCAGTTCTACCTACTAATCAAGAAACGAAAAGTATCTTGAACCCAACGTTCATCTCTATTAAATGAGATGGATAAAAAAGCAAAGATAAGGAACATTGCCTATTTGTTACAATCGTATAATTCTATGTTTTAGGCTGTTGCACTATCCGCCAACGGAAATCGTGTAGCGCTTCTTGCTGGTACGATTGGTGCTGCAATTATTTTCAATTTCGCTGTAGGATTAGTAACTGTGAACCTATCGTTCACCTACTTCCTGCTTTCGCTCACGTACGGTGGCATTGCCGCAGCTGTGATGCAGCTCATTTTCAAGAATCTCCATGAGGAGGTCGGTATTAGAGCACATGGATTCGTGAAAGCAAACTTTTTTTCCCATTTCAGCAGATAGATATGGCAAATTGAAGATCCATTTTATAAAATTCAAAACTTAAACACTGTTATTTCAGGCAAAGGGCCATGTCTATCAAAACGCTCTCAGTTGTGGATTCATTATTGCGAAAGGAACATTCTTTCTTCTGTTTGGCTCCTATGAACAAGAAGTAAAACACGAATAAAGATGAGACAAGCATCTGCATACCCTTTTTTTAAAAGTCTAAGCAAAGAAACATTCATATTCTTTGTGTTACTTAACGACGAGACGGTTTCATCTTCACAGAGTTCTCTGGCATTTTACAGTGCTCAAATTAAGGTTTCTTGTATTCAAAAGCTTTTCGATATGTAATTCACCCATGACTGCAATTAAGATGATGTCGCTAGCTAAATTTGCTTAATATCTTTAGAAAGAAGGCAAGTTGTCCTACTTCTTTTGTAGGGCGTTTATTGCTTCGGTGGTGGACACAGTAACTCTACCTTATCGCTTTTCTTAGTGTTGACGTGGACCTTCATTGTTGGCCGTGACCCTGAACTGCATCTGCTGTAGACCCTACTGCTTTGGCTTTAGACTTTGGAGTGAGACCACGTGTGAGATCCAATGAGTGATATGCAGTAGTATAATGTATGCACGAACTGTCGTTTATGCTTGTTGAGTAGAAATGAACGTAGATATGAAGCTGATAGCCTGATCAACAAAAGTAGCAGAGAAACAGGCGAAACGAAGGACCCGCATAGTGTGGTGGTGAACGCGTTGCTCCCCGGAGAGGGTGATAACGCGTTAGTTCCCCACCGCAAAAACCTGCGGTGCGGAGTTTTGCAAATATCTCAGCATCATTGTGGTTGAGAGCTGTACAAACAAACAGAATAAAGTCAATATTTTACTCGTGCCATTAGATTACAAAGTTTCAGAAAAATAACGCTTTGAGGTTGATCTACTTTTCAAACCATGATTATTAACAGAAAAATTTGTGAAATTGAATTGTAGAGAGGTGGGTCGGGAAGCAAAGGCGCTATGAGTTCAACCCCTTCCTAATCGCTTTCTTCCGGTCTACGTGGAACTGATTAGTCCGGCTATCTCCAAGTTTCAAGTAGGATACGCTCATCCAGCATTCTATAAAAAAAGATGAAATCGTCAAGCAACAGCCGAAGCAAAAAGCGTGCTGTTCGAAGACCAGTGTGGACGATGAATGCGAGAGAAACGAATCGAAGATGAGAAGTGCAGGGATTTGCACAGTAGAACTGAAGATGAAGCCAATGATCCGAGTCTATGGTCCGTTCGTCCTCCCAATGTTGCGGTCAAAAAGATCATTGCCAGGTGAGATTGCCATGTTGATTATTTATCTACCAAGGCTAAATGACAGACGGTGTTAAAATTGTTTCTCCCAGTGGGAATTCTAGTCTATATATAAACATATATATATATATATATATATATACATATATATATCCATTATTATCGATCTAAAAATTGAATCTGTACGCTTGTCGTTATAAGGCATTTATGAATATAGAAACAGAGCAAACAGATTCGTGAACTTTATGCCAGCGACGACGAGTATGCGTGAGTCAACGGTACCTTGTGTCCAAAAAGAAAATCTCAAGCGCAAAGCTCCATACGACTAAAGAAACGTTTGCTTTTCTGTATATATATATATATATATATACATATATATATATACATATATATATATATATCGCTTCGATTTCTTCTTCATCATGACTTGATGTCGGTGGGTAAACGACGAAGATTGTCAAAGCCGTTAGTGATCCACATTGTTTCAACAGTAAACGTTCGATTCGGGTTGCTAGCTATTCGAATGAATCGATGCTCATGGCCAAACCCATGTTGATAAGGATGCCGCTGCCGGCTACTCCTCTACTCTCGCGTGTTCTGAGGTACAGCTCTTCTCCGGTGTCACACATGGCGCTGAATGGTGGGCGTCCTCTCGTCTCATACAGTCCGATGACGTCTTGCCTGCATGATCAACTTTTCTACAGAAAACTCAGATGCAAGTGATCGTGCATTATTGGCACAGTTCGTCACTTTAGGCCTTTGCGATTTAGGGAGCTTAGAATGGTGCTGGGATGTAGGCAGCCTTTCCGTGCTCGTCCTGGCCAACGTCACCGTATCGACGGCTCTTTCGTGGCTAGGAAATCGAGGCCCGTTCATTTTATTGTTTAGCTTTCTAGACCCTCGTGTAGCTCGCTGAGCTCTGAACGTGAAGTCTTCACTAGTACTATAGATAATTCGATAAATAGTATGAATGGTCTTAGAAAGTACGTGGAGGGTCTGATAAAGACTAAGTCGTCGAAACGCCAACCATCGAATCACAACAACAACAAATATACCAACCTCGCGTCAGCTCAACGCGGGGAGTTCTTGAGAAGTAAATTGTTTGAAAACATGCAGGAGTTAACATTACCAAGGTAAATAAATGTGTTTGCCGTTGAAGCAGGGTGTTTTATCTCATGATGAACAATTTAGTTGTGCGACTTATGTGAAACCACAACTTATTGAAAGTGCCATTTTTTTTATTTTTTCTCAGGGATTGGTTCATCTACTATTGGCTGGTGGCGTACCATACAACCAGACGCAGTTGAAATTTTGACGTTAATCGAAGGCTCGTGTTCACACCAGTCATCACAAGTGATTGCACACAAGCTGTGAGAAGCGGGTCAACCTCCTATACTCAAACTCAAATATAAGTCGCTTATACTATAGAAAATCAATAATCATAGCAAAGAATCCTCAACAATCTTCCAAGAATCTTCGTTGTGGCCGACAAATGAGATGAAATTAAAAACACCCTTTACGTGCGATATGCGAGCGCAGAGCGTAACATCACAAGTAATCGGATGCAATCATCAAACAAAAGGATATTGGTGGTAAACATCTGACATATTACCCACTTCACTCGGGCTCCCGTTGATTATTGGTGATCATTGGCTGAACGGCGATGACCTTCACCAAAAACCCATTCGTTCTCGCGAAGAAGCAGCGTAACCCAGTGTATTCTGTTTGATCGAGGCACCATCTATTCTTAGGACCTTGATGAAGATGTCTAAGCATCGCGATGGTAGTGCTCTAAATGTTTGTTCAACACTTCATATAACCCTTTCGCTAACCGATCTTGTTCAGCAGTTATTCTCAGTGTAAACCACATGTTCGGACTACTTATTTTTTTTAGACATTAAGCATTTACAGCCAACACACCGTGGGACATCGAATCCCTCTTAAGCTTGTGTTTTACTGAACACTTCTGGAATCATATCGCGATAAAGGGTTCGATAAAGCTGAGCGCTTCTTCAAATTGCCTGTGTCGTGTTGAAGTCTGCAAATTGTTAAGGTAAGAAGAATCGCAAAGTTGAACAGTGGACTCAGTTTCGGATGTTTTTGTTCTTTCAACTAAATCTTTGATTTTCTTTGCATTTCAAGCCGCCTGTTATGTCCTGCTATGCTCTGGAGCTGTTCGTGAGGAAAGGATTGGTTACGTACTCCGCATTCACGCTCAACGGAATGAATATTTTCATATGATCCAGTGTTTCAGTCACGCCTGTCTAGGTCTGGAAATCAGTATGGTGAACGACTTCGCTCCAGAGTTGAGCAAAAGAAAACAAGTGGCTTGGGAAGCTTTCAACGTATCGAGCATGTAGTGAAGAAAACAAAGAACACCCATCATCATGGCCATCATGTCCACTTTTTTGACCCCACGATTTTTCCCGCCTTAACATGTCCGTCAGAAACCTGGTCGCTGCGGAAGTAGGATGAAGTATCAGTCAGGGTTATAGAACACGCAGTCGAAAGCAGGATGCTAGGATTACCCCATGTCACACAAATAAGGGATGAATATTGGAATACTGGAATATTCGAAGGGATTCAACTCTGATTCGGCTCTAGCAACACGCAAAACTTGTAGCATACAGATCGACACAGAACTCCCGTGTCTATTGCTGCCATCGAAATACTTGAATCTCAACTGCCGAGATTGTTTGTCGGCGGTACTCAACCAGTATGTAGTGCTCATATTTTTGACAGTCGAAGATGTTGGTAAACGAGCGAACAAGACAGCTTAGAAGAATGTCGGAAGTGTAGTGACCACGGCAACAAACGAGCGGCTTCGTGTACACCTTTTTGGCTCATATTACTACCCTATCGTACCTATCCTAAACCGGAACGATATCCAGGCACATGAAGAAGAGGTCAAAGTAAGTGAATGTGCTATGGAGATTATGACATTGGAAGGATTACGTATCACGCAAGTGAGAGAATGAATCTGAAGATCCGAGCTACGCTAACGATGAACAGCAGAGAAGTCGCGTACTTGCCAGGATGTCAAAAACCGACTTGTTCGTGGACAAGAGCCGTCTTAACAACAGCCGTAGCACATCGTCTGTTAGCGACTGCTTTCCATGGGATGTCAAGCGCATAGCAAGAAGACGAAACACCAAACACCAAGGAATGCTATATCTATTCACGAAAGCCATAGAAGAAACACACGATCCTTCTTTATTCCTTAGAGCGAGCAGAACGCAATGAACAATTTATGCACCTGGCTGGAACGAATAATAAATTTAATAAATGAGAAACTAGAACTATGAGGACGCGTGTAGTGCAGTGATCGGAGGCGCCCTGCAATACACATGGAATCGATCTCCGCGCCCCAAGTTCACCAAACCTTCTATCCCTCCGAGGTCGGTAAATTGGTACCAGATTTGTCTGGGAGGATAGCAGCACTGGCTCGATATATCGGCACGCCACTACGACCCATTCTAAAGGCAAGATATGCATCCAATCTCTTCCGACGTTGCTTAATAAAGTCGAATGCATCGCGTATTGCTCACGGATTGATCAACGCCGAGAGTTTCATCCTTTTGTGCTTTATTTCTACTCGAATTCACTTAAGTCACCCGAAAATCAGTTAGCACTGTTTTCCTGATGAGCAAACAAGGAGTTCCTATTAAAGTATTTATCCACTCATAATAGCTAACGTTTTGGAGGTTTCATCTTCCTCAGAGTCTGGATGAGTGAAATTGGCACTCAATCTACTAAGCCAAACACTTCCACAAGTACCTTAACTTATTTCTATAAGTACTTTCATAAGTATTTCTTGTGTAATTTCTTATACAACTTTAAAACTTTATACATTAAGCTTCTCGGCTGAGGTTACGAAGGTGTTTGACCGAGCAGATTGTGTGTCAGTTTGGCTTTTCCAGGCCCTGAAGAAGGTGAAATCGCCGTAATTTCTAGTATTTTGAATGAATAATTACTGCAATAACAATCTTGTTTTGGCTGATCAAGAAAACAGTGAATTACTGATCAATAAAGAGGTTAAATGAAAGTGGTCCTGAAACCAGAGCACAGATCACAGACGTAACATGATGTTCCTTTGACGGCCCAGATGTAAGCAACTTGTGGTTTGCTGATTAATTAAGGTGATGTTCACCTCAGTCAGTCTTCGATTGCTTTCGTAAAATGATTTCAGTATTTATTAGCCGTTTCATATCTTTTCCAGTCCCAGTATCGTTGAGCTCATTCAATATCATCTGTCTCTGAATTTCCTTGGAAAACCGACTTCGATATAACTAGCAGTTCTTCCAAGAATTCCCATCTCTGGTCCTGTCATTTCCGTCAACATTAAACGGTCTAGTTCTTGCCTACTTGACAACAATGAGTGGATTGGTGAGATGATGTAAGGTTGGTAGATCCTCTTTTTCTTAGGGCAGAATGAGCATACCTTCACGCTACGGTTGCGTTAGCAGTGGACTAGAGACCCTATGCTCATTCTTCCTTGATTGACGAGTCGTCGCGGATGGTTTTTATTTCAACACTGTCGAACTCACTGTAATAGTCGTTAAAGTCTAGAAAGGTTACCTACTCTGGTGGTTCCGCAGACTCTAACCTTAGTTATGCTTCTATTGGCACCCATGCTGTCTGTTCCCAATCCGGTCCAGCTACTAAATTTCGGCAAAACCTCTATTGCATGATGAAGAACTCTTTGGTCATCAAACAAGGCAGATACCAAGAAAAATATGTAGAAAGCGTCACGGGAAATGAATTACGGGAATAGAAATACTTTTTCAGCTCATGATAGACTATACGGTTCTTACGTAACTCATCCTGCGAGCGCTAAGAAAAAAAACCCTGGAACAAAATCCATGGTACAAGCAATAAAATTTAGACATGGTATCCGGTCCGGAATATGTTTCTACGCAGACAGTACTACAACTTACGGATGACTTTACTGCAAATAACGCATGAATTGTAGAATATTGAAAACTCAAATCATCAATAAAACACTTCAGTCTAGAATAACAAATAACCATAAAATCAGAATGCTCCTTGCCTGAAGCAGCTTTTTAAGCTGTGCGAATAGAATTCTAGTAAGCGAATTGTTACTACATATATAAATACATTCGAATTTCAGCATTCCAGCTAGAAACACAGGAAGGTTAAGAGCACTTAGTCTGCGAAAATGTTAGGAACCTGGTCTGCGCTTATGATTGGACAGTCTTTTAATGGGTTATACACAAGTCATGAACACAAAAAATGCATAAACAATTGTCACCAACGGTTCTTGTGCGATCTATGACCAAACATCTTCAATAAATCGATCAGTCTTGTGCAACTCCGTCAAGTAAAGTCTTGCATCCTCATTGGATTTGCCTGAATGTTTGACTTAAGAAATAAGTGCAGGTTACTTTTTGAAACAAATTAGCAACACATTCATAGCTTTCTGATAACGTCACTTCAAATCAATTAAAAGTGTGTCGCCTTCGAAAACGCACCCATCCCTTCCTTGATAATATCATGGAAGCATTGCCAAACATCCTTCGACATGCCTTTGGCATCACCACATACAAAAACACGAGATGGACTATCGCAGCTGGAATTCGCCAAAAAGTCACAGACCTGGAACGTTTTCAGAAGTGAATTCTATAACAGGTACTGCAGTCTCAAAAACTGAAAACACCTCTACTTGCCTGTTGAGTTCTTTGTCTCAAAGCATCTTGGACATACTTTAGTCGTTCACCTTCTCCGCGACTCTCGCATAAAATCAACTCTGTGAGTATCCCTTCACGCACATAGGACTTCATTTCATCACTACAACTAGCAGAAAAATGTTTCATGCATTCGCCAGTGAAGTCGCTCTTTCAACGACTCCCAATAGCTCTTCAACAACCACTGCATTTGATGACCTCAGGAACCGACAAATTATAAAAGAAACTATCGTTCTTAGAGCAAAACAAAGTTTCTTTAGAATGTTACTTTTATCTTGAATTTAACGGCGTGTGGCGCAGTGGTCGGTGGCGCTGTGCAATACACATGAAGTCGGTCCGGCGCTGCAGGCCCACCAAGCACCCCAACCCTCCGAGATCGGCAAATTAGTAGCTGACTTGTATGGTAGGATAGCAGCGCTGGTTCGATACATCGGTAGGCTACCGCTAGTGATTGTAAAGTTCAGATATGCATTCAATCACCTTCAACGATGCTTAACGAAGTCGAAGCAGGCACATCTCTCAGGGATTCATCAATTCTGAGAGCATCATCCTTCTTTTTAGTGCACTGAGGACCTGTTCAACTGACAGGGAAATTATCGTTCTACAACAGACAGAGAAGTTCGATAGCAACCGACAATTGAGAAGCTATTTCAAAAACCACTTCACCATCGACAAAATCTTTTGAAAGAGAAGTCGTTGATGGAATCTATTTCAAGATATGATGACAAAAACTATAACGAGTTTAGAGGTAGGAATTGACTTCAGTTTATAGGTGGCTAAACTAGTTTCGAATTTTAACAAAAAACCAACATTTCCAATCCTTCTTAGTTAATCTAAAGACGACTAGAATCCACCATTTTTTTTTACCAAGAAAACAAACGAGCTTACTCTACGGCGACAGGATCTTGAACTTCTGTGTGGATCCCACCACCTCTTGCATCCGACTCGTTTCTCCGCATTCACTACAGATGCAGTTCTTAAGATTTTGCGTGTGGTTGAGACCTCTGCTTGAAGGTTTTTCTTTCCTAATGAATGTCGCTGAACTCTAGTCGAGATGATCCGCCCTTCTAATCCTGATATGCTTGAGCTCAGCAGACCTTCATCACAGGTAGGCGCCATCTTTCGTGGATTAATGATAGCCATCTGGTCTCAAACAAGTGTGGGATGTAATATGAGCTTGGCCGGCATGGAGCGAAGCCGAGTAACGGCATTGAGCGCATTGAACGACACCACTGCAAACAAAACAATTTTTTGCATTTTGTTTCTTTCTCGTTAAATCAAATATCTCGAGTGGCTAAGCGATTCCAAAAATGGAATTTTATTCATCAGTATGCTATGGTATCTACTAATGTATTGATGTCTGCCCTTGTCACCTTTGCCCTAAAGATTTAAAAAGTGGAGAATTCGTCCCAGCCTTTCAAAAACTACTACTTTGAACGTGTTTAAAACCAAAGTGACACTCATGAATTTCTCATTTATATGTAGCCCATCTTCACAATCGTTACAACTTGGCTCGTCCTCCAGCATCCATCCTTTATTCATGGAGTTCTGACGATTTTCGTGCGGGTCTGCTGATACCTGAGGGATTTCCCTTTATGAATTCCTTTGCATGGCTCGTCGAGCTGATTTTTCACGAAATCCCAGCCAGAGCGTTCAATTTGCTCACCACAGGAAGCTACCGATCTCTGCAGACTATCCAAAAACGTGTGGAACCAATCTACCAACCTCGGAAGAATAGATGGGTTGGTTGAGGACGAAATAACATTTTGAAGAAATTATAGATAACCTTGGAGCAATAGAGCAACACGCATTCTATACATCCGTAATTCACAACTCATCTAGTGCTTCAGTTATCGAATTAAATGACGGGTTAACGCACATTAGGCATCGCTCGAAGAAGCCGCCAACCAAAATTACTCTTTGTCGCGAAAAGGTTACAGAAGCTTCAAAAGATTGACATATGCAATGAGAAACAAAGCGAACTTCTTCAACGACAGTTTAAAAACTGACATATACAGTGCATCTTTCTCCAAATTTCTACAACCAAAATATAGATATCGCGGCACGTTGGGAAAATTTTGAGGATCGCTCAGTTTCAAGTTTCTGAAAATAAACAATGAATAGTGAAAACAACACAATCACTCGTGAAATCTTACAAAAAGGGAACCCACAGTAGATATTGACAAAAAGCGAGGAATACGGATACTCCTGTTCCAGGTCCAATCATAAGAAGTGGCATCTGAAGAGCACATGATGGCTGGAGCGGCGGTGGTGGAAGCCGAAACCGTGCTGGTTCTTTACGCATTATCTAAACTACTCTACTTCGAATTTCCACTATTCAGCACAAGGCAAACTTCCAAAACATTGTGTTAGTATAGTAGCTTGCCGAAATCCAAACCTGTACCGTGTCGCCCACTCTTAGGCTTAAAAGCCACTCCGTAGCTAAACCTTTCCGTTCATATCTAAACATGTCATATATACTAGTATAAAAACCCAATTACGGTGAAACACTTAAAATCAGAAAGTCCTTTACAGGATTATATAAAGATACCTTCGACCGTGTTCTGCAGTAAAAGTCATGACAGAATATATAAACCGAACACGACGACCACGACAAGAAGACACGCTATATGATCGTGGAATGAGACGCGGTAGTAGTTCTGAGTCGAGGAAATCTAGATTTTGAAACAGTAAACAAAAAGTTCATACCTATGAGTCTATCAGCAGATGGACGTACACTAGGAAATGCAAACAAGATGTCGGCAAGGGATAATCCAGGCTGAAAAATACAATCGTTGTTTCCTATAAAGTGTATTAAACCCTCATCCAATGAAACAACTGCGTACCTGTCTGACAAAATCATTGAAATCCGTGAGGCCTTGCGCACTGGTAAGCTCAAGAAGACGCCGCTTTTCTCGTTCAACTGCGGCATTTTCAGCTAAGGAACGTAGTACGGGCTAAAACAACCTTATATAACCCAATATATGTAAACATGCATATTGGAAAATGAAGAACCAGAAATCACTCGGCCCGGCGTCCTCCGTATATCAAGACAGTACGTGAAAATATGCCGTAACGAGGTTTCAGAGGGAACATGAGGAGGTAGAACAGCATTGATCTTCTGTGTGGTCGGATTTACAGAAAGATTACATAACTGATCCGCAACAGTCAGCAAACCCATCCTAAACACACAAAAGCCACAATTTAACGGTGCACATGGTACACGATATCTACTTACTGTCGCCTACCTTTTCAGAAGAAAATTCACTTCTGAAATCGGATTTGGAAATATAAAGTAGAATGCATCTCCCGGTTCGTAAGCGAGATGTGGAAGACTATCTAAAGTTGTAACACGCAATCCCGTCGACCAATGGCTGTTAAGATCATTTGTCACTGCTAAAAACAAGAACTAAACCCGAAACAGAAGCAGGATCTGACCAGCAAAATCCAGTACGAGCTCATATTTGGGTTTCACAACATCCGCATCCGTCAATCGTGCCGTACCAACAACGGTAACATTGTAAGGTTCACTAGCTATAATGAATCAAATAATAAGAATGAAATAAAAAGTATATCAAAATAGAAGTAAAAGGAAAGTACTCACCTACTCCTACCATTTTCGCTCTATTCTGCCAAGGGATTTGGCTGTCGTTGTTCCACTTTAAGTGGGAAACCGACGACGTTACGAATTCCAGAGGAGCAACGGGCACTCGTAAAGCGGGATCGTTTGATAATTTATCGTTTCCTGAATACGTTTTGTACAAAATACAAAATAAACACTATCAGAAACATCCATATACTGGGTCCTAAACACAAACCAAACCTGAGATGAGAGAATGTGGCGGATAATCGTACAACTGAGCAGTTAGCATAGGAGCAGCTTCTCTCGACTCGAGGACGTTATCACCTATACCATCGATCAATTGCTTCTTCTCTGGTATTTCTATTTTCGTTGTTAAGCGTTTAAGCATATCAACGTCCAAATTGAAACGCGTAATGAGTGCTTCGAAAAGCTTCTCAATCCACGGCTCCACCACAAGTTCCAACCTAAAGAAACAACCTACAATTGGTTCGGACAATCAGCAGGAAGAGTAAACCGAACCGCCCAACCAAGTAAAATAAGTTAATTTGCAGAACTTTCCAAAAAAAAATTCGTAAAATAAAAAAATGAATATGAAAAATAATACAGCGCACTCGTCCAACAATCCACCAATACGCCTAGCACTTTAATACGTGGATGGCGTCTCCTCACCGGTTTTGCTGGCACTAGATTAACCTCCACTCTTTCAGAATTTTGCTGGTTTAGCCAGCGTGACTCCCAGCGGTCCCGAGGTCAGCCTGACCGAAGTCTAAAGTCTGTCTTAGGTCGTTATCACCATCTCGCCTTCGTGGATCGAAAGGAAATTTGCCACCATGCGACTAGTCTGACACCACAACGGTGGTGGATCCTGGTATTGGTCTGGTTTCTGGTGGATCCTGATACAGAATCCCGGCTTTTAATATCACGATGAAAATTGAGTAACCAATATCAAACGCTCGGAAGTTTCCCAATTAGTTTGAAAACGCCAGACTGCTAATAATTTCGAAGACGTTGCAAAGCAAGTAGCAGGGAAAAGATCCAATTTGATAAATTATTATTTGATTTGTGTCATCATTAATTGCATTTGGTAGCTAATAAGGAACTAAACTAGCATTTTGAATAGTTAATTTGGGTTAGTAATATAAGCCACGATATAAACGATAAATATAGAGCTCGCAGCGTTGATCGCTTCCTGAGAGAAGCACAATGCATTCAACTTCATCAAGCATCGCTAGAAGTGACTGAATGCATATCTGACCTTTACAATGACTCGCCACTGCCGATGTATCGAACCAGTGTAACTATTCTCCCAGAGAACTCTGGTACTAATTTTCCGACCCAGAAAGGATGGAGGGTTGGTGAACCTGTAGCAAAGTGGGTAGATCCCATGTGTATTGCAGACCCCTCCGACCACTGCGCTAAACGCGTCCACACTTTACCACGTTGGAATTGTTTAGGACGTAAGGAGACGAGCTAGGTAAAACGAAAAAGCACAAATCTCTAAGTAGAAGTATGTGTAGATTGCCAAGTTAACAAAGTCTACATTGCCAATGACTTTGAAAATACTGCAGAAGAAAAGAAGTGACAACGAATTTCACATAAATTAACGGTGAAAACAAGAATTTTCTAGGATACACTTTCTCACGAACCCCAACTGATCGTCTGCGCGTCCTGTCTCAATGATCGGTTTTGCACCAAGTTGTTGAAGTTGTTTGTCAATTTTGTTAGGCACTCCTTGAAAAGTTGAGTAGTTAGAGTCTCCCAAACCTAGGCAGATCTAACTCTTTATTTTAAAAAAGAAACCTTAACAATAGAGACAATAATCACAAGAATTTAATGAGCTCACCAAGCAAAGCATAATCGACCTTTTGTAAGAAATTCGGTTCAAGACTCTTTCTAGCTATACGTCTCACAAAGCGAGAGGCATTCTCGGGTGGATCACCGTCGCCCGTAGATGAAACCACAATGACCACAAGAGGCTCGTTTTCGATAAAGAACTATAAACAATCTACACAGAGTGTGACATGATTGCCTGTTAATAATGAAATATGAAGTTGACAATGAAAGAGGATAAAGGATAAAAAACAAGGCTCTCGACGTTGATCACTGCCTGATGGATGCGCCATGCATTCGATTTCATTAAGTATCGTTGGAGGTGATTGAACGCACATTTGGCTTTTACAATGACTCATGGTAGCAGACTGATGTATCAAGCTAGTGCTGATACTCTCGCAGACAAGTCTGGTACCTATTTGTCGGCCCAGAAAGTATGGAGGGTTTGGTGAGCCTAGGGTGTGGGGATTGATCCCATGTGCATAGAAGGACGCCTCCGACCGCTGCACTACACGCGTCCCACGTGCGAAGTTGACAGTAAAGCAAAAGAAAAACAATGCGACGACTAAAAACAAGGAAATTTCCGTTACAGGAACGCCCGTAAGATAAAAACACATTTAAATCTAAGTGGAAGAGCAGAACAGCCTACCACTAATAGCACACAAAGTTACCTCCTTCTCATTTTCGTCTAGTGTAAACAACCGAGGCTTGAATCCTAGGATTTCCGACCTTTCCTTAATCTGTTTAGAAATAGATTCCGCTTGCCCAGTGTGGGAACCATAAAGTATAAGAAAATCTGCTGTACCCATGTCTGAAAGCAAGCTGATTGCGAAATGTGTCCCACACGTACAATTCCGTAGTCAGAAGAGGTTAGAATAAAGAGGCCCTGTGAAGAGAGAACAGAAGAAAGATAGAGGAAAAAGAACGTAAAAGAAGAGGAGGAAGGGAAGGAAGGAAAAGAAAAAAAAAGAAAAGGAGGAAAGATGCACACTACAGCCGACCACTGCTATAGTGTCAGCTAGCAAGCGTATGAGGCTAATATGTTACGAGGTAAGCACAACATCTACCACTTGCTACATTAGTAGGCAATCGGAAGTCATTTTATGCCCCGGATATGCATTCAATCACCTCTAATGATGTCATGAATGGAGTCGAATGCATGGCGCATCTCTCACGGATTACTCAACGCCGAGAGCTATAGAAGCAACAAGGCGTTAGATATAGTCTACTTTGCACAAGAGTAATACACATTCATTGTATCTTCTTAGACAGTTTCCACCAAAAGTTTACAACCTCATCATGGCTTGGTGTTGGTCTGTGATGTACAGCAGAGGGTTCATACTTCCAGCAGGGTTCCCCCAAGCTGAGAATGAGTCCGACGTTCCCATCTGGAAGAACAGCCAAGAATAAACTAATACCAAGACACGTCACCGTCCTGGTGCTATACTAGTCGCATGGTGGAAAATCACCCTCTGATCCATAAGGGAGACGACTGCCTGCGGTGGTGACCACCTGGCGTAGACCTTTGCCAGGCTGACCTTGGTACTCCAAGGAACCACAATGGTTAAACCAGCAAAACTCGGAAAAAATGAAAATTATGCTAAGACCTGCGGAAGCAGTGACGATGGGCCATCCGGGGATCCAAACAAGTATCTTAGGAGGTTGGAAATCACAATATTTCAATAATATGGTGAAAAATAAGCGATCAACATCAATAACAATGAATTGTTGCCACTTCATACAGCAAATTCCGGGACAGACATTCGTTGAGCCTAGGCATTGACCAATAATTCACTGTTTTCATGCTCAGAAAGCATGAGGTTATTATAGCATTTATTCAGTACAGCACTGCCTAACAATTCGGCGGCTTCGTCTCCTTTAGAGCCTAGAAGGGTCAAATCTTCTTAGTCAAACACTTTCATATTATTTCCATATATTTTTTAAATTTTCCATTTTGCCTTGTTTTTCTTCTATTTTTGCAATAAATTGTGCTTGTTTACATAGGTTATGAAAGTGTTTGGTTATGACTGTTTTCTCAATTTGACTCTTCCAGATTCTGAAGAAGGCGAAATTGCCGAAACATCAGCCAGTGCTGTACTAAGTAAATCCCGTAGTAACCTCGTGTTTCCTGACCATGAAAACAGTGAAATATTGGTCAACGCCTACGCTGAAAGAAAGCCGATCCTGGGATTTACCACAGGAAGTGGCAGAAATTCATTATTGCTGATGTCGGTATTTTTCATCGTATTATTGAAGCACTGTGGTTTCCAACAACCTAGGAAGATACAGTGAAGGAGATCAAGAAAAACTGTGAATAGTTGTTGCGGATCAGATATTTATTACAGCAGCGACGAAACCATTAGGAACTCTAATGACCAATTAAATGCAACCTTCAAGTAACTTTACTGTTAAGGCGGCAAGAAAGCCACAAGGGCTTAAACTGGGAATGATGGTGAACCATGTTAGGACATGGATAGGATCTCGAGCCGTCCAATGAAAATACCACATCCGCAACAACGTCTTACGCAAAATTGCGGAAAACTTTGCCTTTGCTTTACTCTACTAATTTAAACATTGCTAGTTCGAATAAATATCTCCATAAGTTGGTTCATTTACGTCCGATTCTATTTCATATCTAATTTTTCCTCTGAGGAGGAGACTTCTTTGCATGGTGTTTTCGCCTCAGTTTACCATGTCTTATCTTTATTCCTCTTCCTGTTTTACCGCAGTAAGGGTTTTCTTTATTCCCTAGATATCGTCTCGTCTTCGTTCTTTCCTTCTTTAAGCCGTAGAAATCTCTTCAGCGCACTTTTTTCATCCAAATTCTGAGATCTATCACGTTTCTTGTGGAAACACTTTTCTCTGATGCTTAAAGACCCTTTCTTGATTTCCAACCATCGTGGGAATGCTGTTAAACTGAGTTTAGATCAGTTTCATTTGGTGTCGGAAATTTCGACATCGAAGAGTAGTTGAATATAAACCAAGTTTAGCAAATCGTCACCGTTATTGAAAAACTTAGTCTTATGTAGCTTGACCTCATATTACTTACCTACTGGAAAACTGGGATGACTGGTTCACTGGTTGTGCAGGCACTAGCATAGTTTCCATTTTTTCAGAGTTTTGCTGGTTTAGCCATTGTGGTTCTCCGAAGTCCCGAGGTCAGCCTATCCAAAGTCTGCCCAGGTCGTAGCCACCGTAGGCTATCGCAGCTCTTGTGGATCAGAGCTAGATTTGCCACCGTGCGACTAGTTTGATACCAGGACGGCGGTGGATCCTGCTATTGGTTTGCTCAGCTGGGCTTCCTGATGGAAGCGCAGGGCTTCTCAGTTTGGAAGACCCTGCTGAGGGATGGATCCACCGTTGCACATCGCACCGCGACACCCAGGAACACTTCCCAGGCACGATGAGGCGGTGAACTGTTTGGAGGCATACTACATTAATCCGTGATATAGCCTACCGCCTGTGTGATAGCTGAAAATGGGGTAGGATATCTTGGTGGGGGTTCCAGAAAATCCTCCCAATTCCGCTAGATATTGATCAGCGTGAAATTGTACTGCGGTTTGAGTTATTCTTGAAGTTCCCATGTTCTTTGGAATCTGTTTTGTTAGTCGTCATAGCGCTTTTGGCAAGTTCATCTACTCACACTCCCTTGTTTGTACAGTTTTAGAAGCTTTATCGATTTTCAGTGCCTCGAGATCTATACACATAGTCCTTCAGAGAAAATGCAAAAGGTGGGTGTGTTTTGTTTCTGCAATTTTAGTTTCTCTTAAGGTTATAGAGTGTAAACATTTCTTTCTTAATGTGTATTCTTAAGTCCCAACTGGATTTAGCCGTCACTTCTTGAAAAGAAAGCCTTGGATTGTCTGTGCAAAGCCGAATACTATGAGGCTCATCAAATTTATCGGACGTTGTATTTCCGAATGATACTTAAAGAGCAGTTCATCGATCTCCTTGACTTGCTGTACTCCGGATCGAAGAAGTTAGCTGATGGTATGTACCTTTTCTGTTTGTGCTCACACTACTTTTAACTTATGGTGGGACCTTTTAATGGTAGGGCACTTGTGGCGCAGTGTTCGGAGACACTCTGCAACAAACACGTGGAATCGATCCCCACGCCAGTGGCTCGGCTCACCAAGCCTTCTATCCCTCCGGGGTCGGCAAATTGATACCAGATTTGTCTGGGAGGATGGTAACACTGGCTCGATACATCGGTAGGCCACCGTGAGTCATTGTATTGTCCAGATATGCATTCAATCACCTCCAACGATGCTTAATGAAGTCGAATGCATGGGGCATCCCACAGGGATTGATCAACGCCAAGAGCTTTATCCTTTTTCTACTCTTTTTTTTTACTTTTCACTGGTTATTTTTCATATTTTCACGCTTTCAGTAAAGGAAGTACTTAGCGCTATTGACTTGGCTGAGTTGTATGCGGAGACGTTGCTCAAGGCTAAGTGTGAGGCGTCTGAGAAAATCTACGGGCAGATTTTTTCTGTGAGTGAAAGTCTAGTCTTAACTTCTTTGTTTCTGAGAAATTCGAAGGTGCCGATGGATTGGGCTTGGTACAAGGTCTTTGATTAGCCCGTCGACAAATCGAAAGAATCACATCAATCTTGTAAAACCACAATGATGCTAAGATATTTGGAAAACAAAACTTCGGGATGCAGGTGTCTGCGGTGGGAATCGAACACGCTATTACCCTTTCCAGGTGTTAACGTGTTCACGAACACGCCATCCGGATCCTACTTGTAAAGTCTTGTAAAAGTTCTTCAACCTTCTGATCCATATAAGTCTGTCATGAAAGTTTGAGAGTACCATGGCAGTTCTGGTTCAAGATGTAATGAGAAATCAAATTTGCTCCGAACTAAACGTGGCAATAAAGAGAGGACAGGACAAAGCCTTTCACTTTCCTTAAATCCACTCACGAGTCTGGTACGCTCAGCTTAGACAACAGATGGGGGAAATGTTGTTGACTATCCATCATGCTGTGGCTGTTACAAAGTTCGATTAAGTTTTTTATGCATATGTATCTTACATATACGTTTCGTCTTTTAGATCATTGAGCAGTTCTGTAACCCATCGTTGCCTATGCCTGCTTCAAATGCTCAAAATAAGTTTATTTCAACATGTGTCATGTGGTGCGACTTTTTTCCTTAAGAATCACGAAGTGACTTAGAGTTTTTCTTATGATCTATGTACTCAAGGTCACAAGCCATAGCCAACAAGCGTCGGGAGAGAAAGCATGGTTTAAGTGAATTACATTATGTGATCGCGCAAGCTTATTCGGCACATCAGCAGTACGCGAATGCACGAAATCACATGCTTTTTGCCGATCATCCTGAGGTATACGTTGTTTTTTGAATGTGTCGCTAACAGACATGGCTGATCCGTATTCTATAATGGTGCTTATTTTAGGAATTTGCAAAACTTTTGCATAAAATGCGTGAAAATGGTGGCAGCAAATCGTCGGAGTGTGAGATGTTCTGCGTTCTTCCCTGTCTTCAGGTATCTTTCTCTTTCGTATGCTCTTTCATATCTCTGCTTTGTTACCTTTTTTCACTAGTTTTTCTGACCGCTCCATTGTTGAGTATTCTCTATCAAGACTATGCAATAATTTTATTTTCCTTTAAATTATTTTATATGACCCGTCTGCCCGTCTACTGTGCGGAGCCCACCACTTCCCACATGTGATTCATTGTCCACGAAGATCTTCCAACTTTTGCGTCTGGCTTCGGTTACTGCTTGAAGATTTCCATTTTATCTTGAATGTCGTAGAATGCTGGTCAAGCAATTTCTCCTTGGCGTTCTGAGGTATCCGTGCTTGAAGGAAAAATCGGGCACTAATTTCCTGGCCTCGGTGGGAAGTGAGGCTGGGTTGGCCCTAAGCGGAATGGAACTAACATCATGCTCGTGATGGCGGGCATCACTACCGTTGTGCTATCCGCTCCCTATGCAACAGTTTACTTATTTGTAAGCGCAAAGTTCCATAGCAAGGTTTTTATATGTTATTTGTAAGCACTCGAAGGTATTGTTTACATGTTTATTTATATATTCCTATGAACTGATCTTGTTGAGCCAATGCGAGGTTTGTATAAGTTGTCGTTGTTATTGTTGTTTTCGTCGTTAACTCGCTCGAGACGGGTGCCACTCGTAACAGCGCGACTCTGAGGAAGGCGAAATCGCCGAAGCGTGAGCCACTGACCAACAACACCAAAAACAGTGACGATTACGAGAACTCGTACCAACCTCACATCAGTTCAACAGGATTATTTTGTAAGGACATTAAATATATTGGCTGTTTATGCCGAGGTTTATAGAAAGTCAGTCTTTTGAGATATCATTTACAGTTGCTAACAATGCATCGGGTTCGTACAGCTTCAAGACTATTAACGGCATATATGAAAATTTGTGACGACCTACCTTCGTGCAACGAATCCCGTCAAGAACTATTCAATTTTCTTCGACTGCTATGCAGCGTCATCACTTTGCGTGATGTAGGACCAACTAGCGTTTGTATATTTGCTTTCTTGTGTCGTTTAGCCATTTATTTCAGGCAAAATTGTTTGAACATCTAGTTCAAATTTACAAACATCATCTAGATGTCGATCCAAAGTTCCACAATTATCTGAGCCAGATTGGGCATATTTTCTTCGGAATTCAGTCATCCAAAAACAAGGGTGATTCATTCGGTGGCCTCCTTGGAAATATTTTAAAAGGTAATGAGCTTTGTGAGAATTTTAAAGCTGGCTTAAAATGATTGCTGTGCTAAGGCGTTTTGGGAGAGAAGAAAGACGAGGAATTGTACTTTTCGGATTCTGATTTCGAATCTGGTGCTGCTGACAAAATACGATTGGAGGTTTGGAAGCGTTGTTGTCATTCTAGTGCACTAGGTTTCGTTTCGAAGGTGCAATATTTGCAAATGTTTAGACGGAAGAAGCGTACGAAACTGCTGAAGAATCCGATGGTGGTGATATGAGGAATTCGAAAGAACAAGTGAAACAAAATGCGGTCGAGAACTTCGATGATCTCGATTAGTATGTTAAGGTAGTAAGGGTTAAATTTTAACATTGCTTATTTTAAATAATGTTTCTTTCTGTCTGTTGAGCATCTGATACTTTTTATGTATATCATAAAGCTAAGCGAATGAATTAGACCTGTGTTTTAGCATGTGTTTTTATGTTTTGACCCACCAATTTGGGACGTTTATCTGGAGGATCCGTTTTGTTGACGAAACCTACCATTAATCGAACACTAATGTGTAGGAAATCTTTTAGGTAGATGATTGATGAGAACGAGCCCGTAAGAGTTGAGGAGGCTATGGTAGTGTGAAAAAGGTGAGGCTGCAGGAATGTCTTGCGTTGTATGGTCGTGCAGTTCTGTTGCAGTCATTCAGTATCTGAAACTTGGACAGTTGAAATTTATTGTAAGTTGTGGAACAATACCGCACACCGGTTAACCGCCTCATCGTGACTGAGAGTTGTTCATGGGTGTCGAGCTGCTATGTACAGCGGGAATTCATCGCCTGGCAGGGTCTCCGAAGCTGAGAAGGAATCCAGCGTTGCAATCACGAAGCCAAGCTAGGAGTAAACCAGTACGAGGATCAACCACAGTCCTGGAATCGAACTATTCGCATGGCGGGAATCTCTCTCCGATCCACAAGGGCGGCGACTGTATGTGATTGTGACGACCTGGGGCAGACAATTGGACAGGTTGACCTTACTATTCCAGAGAACCACAATAGCTAAACCTCTGAAAAAAGTGGAAATCATGCTGAGGTCTGCACAATTATTGAAAAAAGACTCCGAAAAAAGTGGAAATTATGTTTGGGCCCACACAACCAGTGGGTACTGGCCGTCCAAGTGTCCGAGTGAAACAATGACCACATCGCGGAATTTCAAGTGTACAGCGGTAACAAGAGGATCAAAGACTGAATCGAGTGCGTCACGCATATGAACGATAGGTACCTACAGTTTATGATGTTAAAGCAAGGAAGGACAGGAAGGACAAAGCAAAAGAGTCCGACAAGCAGAGGCAGATAGGAATTCTTACAGAATGTTCAAAGCAAGCTAGTGTTAGCATAGGCGTCATGACTCCTTTGCATCCAGTGTTTCTTTTTTTCATTTATCTGTGGGTTTTTGCGACTATGTTGCTGGTAGCATACCAAAAAACTACAGGGGACTTTTCAACATGCTGCGAAGAAAATATATGAACTGAACGCTAAGGTACATATCAATGATGCATGCATAAGAAATAAAAAGTTCATAAGAAAATAGAGACTGCATGCAATTTTATGGATAATGGAGCTGCAGGGAGGTCTTACAGTTTGATGATTAGGATCCGCTTTGTAGAGTGTTGAAGGATTGAGAGTGGGCAGCTAACAGTGTATTGATGAGGTTATTTCTTATGAATACTAAAATCAACGCAAGATACGCAATGGGCTACACAGCTCGATACAATTTCCAGCTGAGCAGATGGATTCTCCACCTGGTTTTTTAGTTGAGTACATCGTAGAGAACATGAGAAGATAGCATTTGTATTTAATAACTCTGTATCAAATCACAAGACCGACTTTATTTTAGCCTCGCCATTAATTAAGATTTAGCTCTTTTCCTTGATGAGCTAGCACGGTGTTTATTACAGGATTTATTAAGACACAATATTAACTTTTTTCCTTACCGGCGAGTAGCGCACTTCACCACCACACCATCCGGGTCCTTCGTTTCGCCTGTCTCTCAGCTAGTTTTATTGATCTTTTGCCATCAGCAATCACCCGTCAATGGGATTGATCTAGGGAGCCCAAATCGGCATTGAACCCAGTTAAGCTGAGGCTTAGTTATAATCGCAATCTTAACCCTTTTATTTACTGCCTTTTTTCCTTTTTAATGGCAGGGTATGTTGCGAAATATAACTTCGTATATAATGCTGAGATAACTCGAAAGACCGACTTTCTATAAACCTCGGCGTAGATAGTTGATATATTTATTTATGTGTTCTTATAAACTGATTTTCTTAAGCTGACGCGAGGTTGGTACAGATCTTCGTTGCGTTGTCGTTGTCGTTGTCGTTGCTTTTGATGTTATTGATCGATGGCTGACGTCTCGGCGATTTCGCCTTCTTCAGAACCTGGACGTGTTTTATACAAAAATATTTTTATTATTCAGTGGAAAAGAAAGGTTAAAGTGTTAATAAAGATAAAGCTTTCAAATACACACCATATTGAACAGAAAGGCCACTCACCATGATTTTACGTGCGGGACTTGCCAACACGTAGTTCACGTGGGGTCGCGAGCGACACACTCCCCGGGGCCAAATATGGTTTTGAAATAGGGCGCCAGGTCACGCGTGATAGTGAGGCATTCGTCCTTCCGGTTCATTTTTGGATTTATTTGAAATTTATCCAAAACGCCTCAAGAGTTTTGCGCGTTGATGCTTTTTTTCTATTAGTGATAAAGGCGGAGAATTTGTAGTTCTTCCTAGTCAGTTGGATATTAGGATAACAGAAGAGCACCTCAGTGATGTTTCTCTCTATTGAACATCCTCTGAAAAGGAATACAGAAATCAATACCGAAAATTAAATCAAGAATGGGTCAGCACGGCAAAGGCCGCGGGTTTAGAGCCTTCAGTTATTTCTCGACTTAAAAACGAACACCCGATTTGCCCTACCCTTTACTTGCTTATTAAAACACATAAGCTTACTTCAACTGATGATATTACGTCAACGAACCCATCATCGTATAAAGTCATCAGTTGTATAGGCGGGCCAACGGATAGAATAACGTGGTTCCTAACCCAGCTGCTAAAATTCATTCCAACCCATCTACCTAACACCAAAATATTTTTGGATCACCTAAAACGCGCAACCAAAGAGCACGTATATAATGGAATCATTCGATGTTACTTCACTTTATTTATACCAACGTGTCCAATGACTCCGCAATGCAAGCCATTCTCGAGTTGCTCGTAGAGCATGAAAGAAAAAAATCGCACGGCTTGTCGATTGCCCAATGACCCTCTTAAAACAATGTCTTAGTTGTTCAAACCTTAGGTGATCTGGAAAATATTTTGCACAAATTAGAAGGTTGGCGATGGGGCAGCGTTTAGCACCAAGCCCTGCCGTCGCTTTCATGTCGACGGTGGATGTTCACGTTCTCGGTCCCCTTACTCTCCTGTCGATACATCGACGAATGCTTCATTGCCTGTTCCGCACAAGAACAGATGGACGAGTGCTTTGAATTATTAAACCGCCAGTCAGAATATATAAAATTTACACGAGAAGAACATACCAAGAAGTGCGCTACTCCCCGGTAAGGACAATAGTTCGTTCCCTACCGCATGCACCTGCGGCCCGGAGTTTTGCAAATATCTCAGCATTATATACGAGTTATATTTCGCAACATACCCTGCCATTAAAAAGAAAAAAAGACTGTAAATAAAAGGGTTAAGACTAACTTTTCTATTTATTGCCTGCTTCAGTTTTTCACGGGAGGGTATTATGTGTGGTACAACCGCAGTGATGCTGAGATATTTGCAAAACTCCGGCCGATAGGTGTCTGCAGTGAGGCACGACGGCGCTATTACCCTATCCGGAGACTAACGCGTTCACCATAACACCGTACGGGTCCTTCGCTCGCGTCCTAGAACACGATAAATAAGAAATAAGTAGAGATTAAAATCTCGGCGTTGAGCAATCCCTGAGGGGTGCGCCATGCATTAGACTTCATTAAGCATCGTTTGGAGGTGATTGGTTGCATATCTGACCAACACAATGAATCGCGGTGGCCTACCGATGTATCGAGCCAGTGTTACTACCCTCCCAGACAAGTCTGGTATCAATTTGCCGATCCCGGGGGAATGGAAGGCTTGGTGGGCCATGGGTTCCACGCGTGTTGCAGTGCACCTCCAAACACTTCGCCACACGCGCCCTTACAAAACACGATAGCTGAGGTTTTTGCGGTTTCGCCTTCTTCAGAGCCGGGAAAGCTCAAATTGGCATGCGATTTACTCAACCAGACATAACGTTTTGCAACGTCGGAAAACAAAACTGAGGCATCACGATGGACCCTCATGTTGAGGTAGTGAGCACATTAGCTCCTGGAAAGCGTAATAGCGAGTTCTATCTCCACTGCAGCCACCTGGTCTCAGCATCATTGTGGTTATGTTTCACGTCATACCCTGCTATATGAAAAAAATAGCAGCAAATAAAAAGTGACTACTCACCGTTTTGTTTTTTGTAAATCTACCAGTTATTTGATGGAGACCGGGCGCACATAGGCCTACATCGGCGAGGACTGCCTGGCTCAAGTTAAAAAATTAACCCGAGTTATGGCGTGAGGTCATGCTTGATGGTAAGGAGCAACCTCATTGCGGTTCAGTTTTGATTTTTCCCATTTTATACAAAGCGCTTGAAGAGTTTTTCGCTCTGATGCTTAGGATTCCTGTGCGAGGATAGTCACTTTTACTTTAAAATCCTCTCTGTTATGTCTTAGACAAGCGGACATTTAGGCATTGGATATACATCTACTTGGACATCATCTGCATCACCTGTCGTCCCGTTGATCGTTGAGCGACTCGGGCGAGCGCCAATAAGCGCTCCATTATTCCCTGTCGCTTACAATACTAGCCCAGTCTGTTCGTTCGCTCTAGAGGCTCATTGGGCATCTTGTCTTTCTTTTAGACTTTTCTTTAAGAACTATAACCATCGGATGGGTGGTCTTTCCGCAGTACTTTGGAAATCTTGAGAGATCTAGTCAGTAACAGCTCTTATCCATTTAGACACTTAGCCATTGTTATCCATTTGGACATTTCATTTACTTATTTGATACTTCAACCGTCCCTCCTCACTAGTTGTGCGGGCCCCAGCATAATCACCATTTTTCGGAGATTTGGTGGTTAAGTGATTGTTGTTCCCTGGAATCCCGAGGACAGCCTGGCCAAAGTCTGCCCCAGGTCGTCACCATGACAAGTGGTTACAGCCGTTGTGGATCAGAGGGAGATTTGCCACCATGCGATTTTGACACCAGGACGGTGGTGGATCCTGGTATTGGTTTACTCTTAGTTAGTCTTGCTGATGGAAACGCCGGACTCCTTCTCAGCTGGGGCGGCACTGCCGTGCTGACGAATCCAGTAGCTGTACATCGCAGTCCGACACCCAGGAACACCTCCCAGCCACGATGAGGCGGTAAACCGTTGGGAGGATATTTCATTTATTTAGACATAATGAGGAATCAGCTATTGTAATAATTTTTGAAGTAAAAGTCACCATCCACGCCCAAGACTCGGAAACATCAGCGTGTGAAACTCTTGAAAAGTTTTGGATAAATTTGAGAAATTCAAAAATGGATCGTAAGGAGGTCTGCCATGTGGCCACGCATGACCTTGCGCCATACTTTAGGCTGATCCTGTGGCTGACTTTAATAGATTTTTCGACCATGTGAGGGTTTGTGCGGGTGGTCTCCACCCATCAACTGGATGACTTACATACAACGAAACGGTGAGTGTTTAGTAGAATCCATTTATTATGCGAATGAAAAAGTGTTTGTGTTAAATATTGTCTGCTGAAGGTATGAAAGTATTTACCTTAATTGATTCCATGTCAATTTGACCCTTCCAATCTTCGAAGAAGACGAAATCGCCAAAACATCAGCTATCGCTTATCAATAAGTGCTGTAATAAAAACCTAGGGTTCGTTCATCAAGATAAACAGTTAGCTCCATATTAATCTTTTGATAAGTAGTCACGTAATAGGGGTATTTTTGCAGCAGCAACACTGCATTATTTATTCAAACTGTGTGGCGGAGAAAGAGCAGCACCTGAGTTGAATGTCTTACGATCAGTGCTGGCAAGGCGCTGCGCCTTATTATGATGTAACATTGGCAGAGTAGAAAATAGAAGTGGCTCCATTGAAGCTATAGTCTATGGCGGTCGAGCACAGTGCGGGCCACTTGCTGTAATATGTATATGTCACCATATTCAATTTGTTTTAAGGAACTCTGAGTTAAAAAAAATAAAAGCTCTTGGCACTGATCAATCTCTAGAGGATTTCCACACATCCGACTTCATTAAGCATAGTTGGAGATTATTGAATGAATATCTGGCCTTTACAATGACTACCGGTGGCCTACTGTTGTATCGAGTCAGTGCTGGTATTCTCTCAGACTGGTATCCTCAGACAAGTTTGGTACAGTTTTGTCGACTACGAAGGGATGAAAGGCTCGGTAAGCCTGTGGCGCGGAATCAATCCCAGGTGTATTGCTGGGCGCCTTTAACCACTGCGCTACATATGAAAGAATCCTAAGCTACATCGAGTGATCTTAGTAATCTTTTAAATAATGCTAGGTTTCCAATGTTTGTCCATCAGAGCTTCACAATGATAGATGTTGTGTATGTTGGTTATATTTCTGAAGACATCATTTAAGCGATCTGCGATTAATACCCACTATTCTTGGCGTGATTGATCTATCAGTACTCGTCTTTGCTGCATAACAGAACGCTGGAAGGACTCTTGAATCGAAAAGCTCAGGGCGGATTTTCGGGCCCTTTGGTTGGTTGGTGGCATCCTTTAGAGGCCCGAATGCGGCCCATACTACTCTCTATCTTCCGTTTAATTCCTTCTTCTCCATGCTCCCAAGGTACCTATGTAAGGAGGCCTTTGCCATTATAGAACCATTCTATTTGACCTGTTCGCCTTCGTGCCATGGGTTTTTCATGAACTGGGTCTTCTTTCGACTTACGCATAGTCCAATTTCCAACTTCCTTGAGCTCATTGGTCACTCTTGTCCATTGTCTCTGCTTCATTGGTACTTCTTGAGAAGATAACAATGGCGTCGGCAAAACGATGATTTGATAGGAATTTTCCATCAATGCGTATGCCTTTTTCATCCCAACCGAGTGAATTCATTATGCACTGCAATGCGGCACGAAATAATTTTAGCGATATTGTATCGCCTTGTCGAATTCCATTTCCCATGGATACGATAAGAGGTGAATGGAACAGCTGTATTTTCGTAGTCCAGTTCCGATGACAGTCAATTAGAATTCTTGCGTAGGATGGCTTCGCTCCCTGTTCGACGAGTGGTGATAGGATATCGTTCCTTTTCGGCACTACCAGACGTATTTTAACAGCCGACAACGGTTAGAACTAGAGTTAGGTGGTATCGCCTACAAAATTCAATGTCCTGGACATAGTTTGGACGTGGTTTATGCGGCAAAATGCTTGTCGAAATGCTGCTTGCACCACTGGTTACACTTCATCCTATGTCTTTGATATGCGCGAAAGTATAATCTTCGGAAGAGCTTGTAGAGTACATTCAGCGAGAGTAACAGACGATAGCAACGATTGTCCTTTCGGTTGCGTTTGCTGGGTAGGATGACCGTGCACAACGTCCTCTACTGGCTTGCGTTTTTTTCCCTTTTGAGGGTGTCTATGGTTTGAGACAAGTGCTTCGAGAAGAAGAGAAGTAAATTGTGGCTCCTAGAACTAAGGAAAGTGGTGATAGTATTGTCGAGTACTGGTGCTGTGCGCTTTTTCATCCTTTCTGTTGCAACTGGAACCTGAGAGGAAAGAATTCCAGATCTCGTTGTTTGAGGACCTGAGGCGAATTCGGTACAACTTTTAAGTCCTTCGACAAGCAGCACGTAGTCGGGACTTTCCTAACCTCCCTGTCTCGTTTGGATAGAATTTGTTCCGAATTTTTTTGTTACATACAGCTAGACTTTTTTCTCCTGGTCGATGACAATATTTCTTTTCCTACTTACGGCTGAATCGGCTCAACAATCCAAGTTTTCCGACCCGATATTCGATTCCGTTGGCCTTCCTTTTGCGGCGTTGATGTCTCCAAAAGCGAATTTATAATAGGCTTTATAATTGCGGATAGCCCCTTTCAACTGACAGTAGAGTGCATCTAATTCGTACTCATGAGCTGCAACGGTCAGTGAGTAGCAACTGTTGATAGTGATATTCACATGACGCGTTGGATGAATACGGTGGACGTCCGTACGAGTGCAGAGGACCTCATAAGACTCAATGAGATTGACAATGGCCTGCTGGACGACGAAGCCTACACTAGCGACATTCCGTGACAGACCTCTCCTCCTCAGATGACAAGTATCTTCTTGTTTATTTGGCGTATGTCTGTCTTCTTTTTTGGCTTTTGTTTCTTGTAAGGCGAACACGTGGGATTTGATGCAATGTGCTGCTTTAAGAAAGCTATGAAGATTGGCGTCTGATGAGAGTATTTTAGTGTTATACGTGCACAGTCTCTATGGCGGTGTTTGCCAGATCCTGTTCCAGTGACGTCCTGCGTAGCCGAGATTTTGTAGCTTTTCGCTGGTCTTTTCACCGGCTCACATCATTGAAGGGAACACTCATTATGCGATGTACTGATGTTGGATTAGTACTGGCTGGGCAGTTTCGTATTTCCTGGAGTCCTTACTTAACTTTTCAAGAACGTTTTCGGGTCTTCACCACGATATTGATCCGAGGCAAGCGGAGAAGTAGAGCCCATCGCCATTTGGCTGATAATCTAGAGCTCGGGGAAATCCACTGGATCTTTGAGATAGCTATTTCAACGGTTTCCCCTGTACACACTACAGCAGCTTATCAGCGCTTGCGGATGGTAGTGACATATGCTAATTCGTTCTTAAGTTACTACGAGTGCCTTTAATTTCCATTAATTATTTTATCTTTTTACTCCTACTCGTAACTCCTCTTTCGGGTGAGATACTGTGTTCGTTTTCACCACGAGAGACCTTACTGTAGCGAAAAAGCTCAGCTATGCCTTGCAATTTAACACCCACAAGCGTTTCTAATCATGAGGCTGTATATTAGGGAAGGAAGGTTTGAACTCACTGATAAAGGTCATTTTTTATCAGGTGTAGGCATGCTGATTCACTAAACATTTTGTGATTTGTTATCGCGTATCCACATTTATTAGTCTGTACTGTTTTTTCCTGTTTATTAATTTAGTTTGCATTTCACTCTCCCATGAAATTCGTTGAATGCTGGTGGAGCATGATTCTGCTTAGAAGTCCGTGATATCGCTGCTTGAGCATTCTTAGGTCTCCACCATTGACGGCCGAGGGCCGTTTTTTAGATCCAGAGGGGCTTTTCCCAGGCGAATGGGTCTTCGGTTTGTTGAACTCGGAGGATTGGGTTCGTTGGTCTGTATGGAGTCGAAAAAATGTATATCACCTGTATCACCTGTTCGTCACGTTGATTATCGAGTAACTCAGCAAAACGAGGACTGTGTCATTACCGACCATCTGTTTTCATTCCCATGTTTTCCCATTCCAATGTTCGCATGACGTTCTCGAGGTTGGCGGTAAATAATTTTGGTGAGATTGTATCGCCTTAACTCTAGCCCCACTTTTGAAGTCGATGTTGATGTCTCAAAAGACCGACTTTCTATAAACGTCGGTATAGATAGTTGATATATTTATTTATATGATCGTATAAACTGATCTTAGCTGATGCGAGGTTGGTATAGGTCCTTGTTGTCGTTGTCATTGTAGCTGGTGTTGTTTGTCGATGGCTGACGTTTCGGCGATTTCGCCTGCTTCAGAGCCAAGACGTATTTTGTATTAGAATGCTTTAATTATTCGATGGAAAAAGGCTGAAGTATTAATGAAGATCAAACTTTTAAATAGACGCCATATTGAACAGAAAGGCTACTCACCGTGATGTTAGTGAGGCGTTCGTCTTTCCGGTTCATCTTTGGATTTTTGAAATTTTTCCAAAACGCCTCAAGAGTTTTGAGCGTTGGTGTTTTCGATTCCTACGCTAGGATCCGCACAGTCACTTCGAAATCATCGCCGTTGTTCTTGTGTGCCCTATGCGTACCTAGAGGAGGGTTCGGCGAGCCTTAACTTTCCCATCTAAATGTTTTTTTATGCGAACACAAAGTGGTCTATCCGTTTCCCCAATATATTCCTCACCGTATGTGCTACATGAAATCAGGTATATTATACCTGAACTCATGCAATCCCCGTCTCTCTCGTTAGAACGGATCATACAGTTTTCTGAGCTACACAAACGATCGTAGAGACGGTTGTGAACTAACTGACGGCGCAGAGTATTAGGTGGGATGCCAGTAATCGTTACGTAATTTTCAACACCACTTTTTCTTAAGCATCTCTTAAGGGCGCAACTTACTTCATTTGATATGAAGGGTAACTTAAAAGGGATCTTACTTACGTCCGAAACCTTAATTTGGTGAACTACCCTACGGTTTTGTCTAAACCGAGAGGCTTCCATTTGGTAGCCATTGGAAATGGCTATTTTTCGTGCTAGGTTTAGCGAATTATTTCTTTCCTCTACTCTTGTGCACAGATTTTTAGCCGTAACGTTTGAAGGATGAGAGGAGAGATAGTGAACTAGTATATTTTTACTACTTGGCTTACGATACCATTTTGTTATATAGCCGCCTTCTGAGAGCTTTATTTGGATGTTTAAGAATGGAATTCAGTTTTAGGTTAGTTTTTCTCGTGTAAATTTTGTATACTCTGACTGTTGGCTTAACAATTCAAAGCACTCGTCCATTTGTTCTTGTGCGTAACAGACAATGAAGCAGTCGTCTATGTATGGACAGGAGAGTAAGGGGACCGAGAACGGGAACATCCACCGTAGACATGAAAGCGACGGCAAAGCTAGGTGCTAAACGCTGCCCCATCGCCAACCCTCTATTTTTTCCAGACCATCTAAAGATTGAAGAACTAAGACACTGTTTCAAGAAAGTCATTATTTGCGCAATCGACAAGCCGTGCATTTTTATTTTCTTTTCATGCTCTACGAGCAACTCGAAAATGGCTTGCATTGCGGAGTCATTGGACACGTTGGTATAAAGTGAACTAACATCGAATGATTCCATTATACGCGTGCTGTTTGGTTGCGCGCGCCTTAGGTGATCCAGAAATATTTTGGTGTTAGGTAGATGGGTTGGAATGTTGGGTTAGCAGTTGGGTTAGGATAAGGTTTAGGAACCACGTTATTCTATCCGTTGGCATGCCTATACAAGTGATGATAGGTATAACTTAATACGATGATGGGTTCGTTGACGTAATAACATCAGTTGAAGTGAGCATATGTGTTTTAATAAACAAGTAAAGAACAGGGCAAATAGGGTGTTTATTCTTAAGTCGAGAAATAACTGAAGGCTCTAAACCCGCGGCCTTCGCCGTGCTGACCCATTCTTGATTCAGTTTTCGGTATTGATTTCTGTATTCCTTTTCAGAGGATGTTCGATTGAGAGAAACATCACTGAGGCGCTCCTCTGTTATCCTAATATCCAACTGACTAGGAAGAACTACAAATTCTCAGCCTTCATCACTAATAGAAAGTCTAACAGATTTTGAATTCAAAAGCTCTCTAACCTGGCGCATACCACATTTTTGTTGGCTTGTGAGGTTGGAGCTTCTTTTTCGTTTTTGGTAGTGATTAAGTATGCGGAGAATTTCGTCCGAAAATAAACGAAATCTAGGGTCAATATCGCTATTTGGTAGTTGTTGAAAGAAGGTTCGGAAAAGGGTATTGGTGGTAGTTCCCCCTTCCCTGGTACTACTTTACCTAGCCTTTCTAACCTAATCCTGTGACGTAGTTGATTTTGAAGTTTATGTAGACTACACGTGATCCTGCAGAGGATTGCTTTAGAAATGGGTTGACTAGGTGCAGAACTCGGGCCGAATTCTAACAAGGAACGCGCATTTTCCGGAAACGTTATACCTCCTAACACAGTAACCCTGGATGTTCTTGGCCTGCAGTCTATTTCAGGGTTTTTATTTGTAACTTGACCAGCGGCAGTCCTATGAGGTAAGCTTTTTGAGCGGCGTGATAGATCTTCAAACTTTTTCCTTAACTTGCTCTTAATATCACACCGAATCTTTCCGCATACCGATTTAGAACCAGCTACTATTCTCTTCCAATGATTCCTCTCCAAATGCTGAGCACAATGGTTTTCTTTGTACACACATTTGTTTAATAGTGAAAACATTTCGTTTTGTGTGCACCGCAATGAAACGCGTAGCAGTTTTATTTTGGTGCTTAGGACTTCATTTTCATTCATTCAGGATTATGGACTTCATTCCGTTGATCTCGAATAAGCCACCGATATAGCAGCGTAGGGAAAGACGAATGCGAAAAGGATGCTAAAATCTGGGAGTGATTCTAGGTTGCATAAATCGTAAAGGACTGAGATAGCGATCTGCACCTTCAATGAATGCTTATTAGTTTGTCTTCGATATAGGCCTTGTTTGTGTAGACAAAAAGATAAGGTACAACGTTATCGTGCCTCGACAGACAAGACGGCACCGCTCATTCAACGTCGTTTACGAGTTTGGCTATGAAGATCGATTTATTTGAGCAACTATCAACCCGAATCGGATGTTTACGATTGATGAGATGTGGACCAAGACCTTCATTGAAAATCCTTGTTGTTTACTAAGCTATGACGAAGAAGAAGTCAAAGAGTTCTACATAAACTTGGATAAGTCCTACGCGGAAGAGAATACATTTTTAAGACACTACCTCCTCTCTCGATCGTAACAGACAGAAAAACACTTATCAAAAAAATGTACCGAATGGCTCAAAATATGTGAATAGTGGAAGAGCAAAGGAAGGATTATCTGAGCTTGGCACGAAAAGCTACTTTCAGTGGCTGTGAATGAAAATCCCCTAAAGTCATTTTAAAAGACGGGATTATTCCTTAAAATTATGTATCAATCCTGACTAAGATGACTTCCAACCAACCTCTCATTTCACACGAAACATTTAACGCCGCTAAGAGGTGCCTAAGAGAAAGTGGTCTTGAAAATTCTGTGGCAGTTACTGAGCTCCCACACAATATTCTATGTCGTCGCCTAGTTCGCAGACACCTCTGTGATCGTTTGGGCAGCTCAGGAAATTGTTCAATCAGTCCTGACAATAAAGACGAGGATTGCATAAGTTCATATACAAAGTACTTCATTTCAAGTAAAGCATACGATCGGAAATAGATCGGGGAAACGGGTAGACCTTTTTGTGTCTGCATAAAAAAACATATAGAAGGAAAATGTAGGCGCACAAAGAGCATAAAGCACAACGATGATAAATTTGAATCTATCCTGATCTCTAGGCAGTAACCAAAAGCATCAATGCACAGGACTCTGAGGCGTTACGGAAAGTTTTAAATGTCTAAAGTTGAACCGTGAAGACGAATATCTCACGATTACACGTGATATGGCGAATATTTCTAAATGGTTTTTTAACCTGGGTAGGTCAGACTCGTCGTCCCACTTGAACAACACATGGGTGATCACTCAACCATAGATCTTTATTAGTATCACCCGTACCAGCAGTAGTGTCGTTGATCGTCGAGCGATTCGAGTGGGCGCCAGTAAAACTTCAGTTTTTCCATGTTACGTACAACAGCATCCCATTAAATTGCGCTCGATCTAGGAACTCGATGGGTATCACACCATGCTTCAAAAGTTTTCTTGAAGAACTTTAAGCATTAGGTCGGTGAACTTCCTTTAGCACGTTTGAGATCCCCAGAATTCTAGTCGTTGGCGGCTTTTGTCCATCGGTTATCGTTCATGCGCAATACATCTTTCTTTATCAGTGAAATAGATAATTCGTCGAATCACATGGATGGTGTTACATAAAATAGGTCCAGGCTCTAAAGAACGCGAGGTAGCCTAAACGTCGGTTATCGAACCACAACGACAACAACAGCTGTTATCAACCTCCCGTCACCTCAACAAGAACAGTTGGTAAGAACTACATATGACAGTTGCCGATGTCAACGTTCACAGAGAGTTTGTCTTTTGTGGTATGAAAACGAAAGTGGGTGTGATTTTTTGAACTTTTAAGTATTTGTTATGTTAAAATTTTTCGCCAGGGATTTGAAGCGCTTTTAGAAGCTTTCGAGACAACGCAACATGAAATTCGGCACTGAGAAATAATTTGCTTCTATATTTAGGACATGACTGATTGTAACTCCTTGATAGCCGCTATCAAATGACAATGCTTTACGTATATAAAATTTCTCCCCAAGGAGAACTTTTGGTATCGTTCTTAACTCTCGAGGTCACAACAGAAAACGGAGATTTTTTGAAAAAAAAGCGTTTTATCCAAATTTTCCACCAGCAGACGTAGCATTTTCAATTTAGATGGGAAAATCATTACTCACACCATTTCGGGAACACTTCCAGAAAAGTGGACAACCACTTTACGAAGTCGAGTCAATTCGTCAGTGAACTGCCGTAGGTGGCAGCAGCAGTGTTTTATGAACCTTCTCGATCGTAGTTTTGCTGTAGTATACCGTCACCGTGCTCTGCAATACATACATGGCAACGATTTCAGCGGCTGTGGCTCACCAAGCCTTGCATCACTCCGTAGTCGGTAAATTGGTGCTAGACTTGTCTGGGAGGATGGCAGCACTGGCTCGATTTATCGGAAAGCCACCGCAAGTCATTGTAAAGGCCATACATGCATCCAATCACCTCCATGCGATGACTAATAAAGTCGAATGCATGGCACCTCACTAAGAGATTCATCTATGCCCAGAGCTCAATCCTTTTAGCTTTAATACCGTCACCACATTCGGACTGAAGAGATGAGGACCCAGAAGCGATTCAACCTTGGAAAATTCGCTGAGAACTCTCAAATCATTGTGCAGAAGTACGTAGAACTGAATCAATTGCCTCATCGCCAAATGGACCCAGCTGAATACATGGTTTT